CACTACTGCAAACAGCTGGTCATTTAACAGGGAGACCAGTTCCATTTCCACTCAGCATCTCTGTTTGTACCACAGACAGGAGGAGACTTGTGTATTGATTGGACTGTTGCTGTGGTTTAGCTGTTGTTTTGGCTGATGGCCCGGGAGCAAGAGATGATGAGGGTTTTGCCGGGAGCTTGAGGTATTATTGTAGCCTTAAAAAACATCTGTCCTTTCAAGAAAGGAAAGTGACTGGCTGCCCAGGGTAATGACCTTAGAGTAACATTGATTGCATATGATTGGATTGGGGCTGGCAAGTCAGGTAGATGGTAAAAGATGATGCATGTTGATGCTGGTGAAAGTCTGATGGTTACTTCAACATTAGGCCAATGAATACTAGGTGGCAATATTTAATTCATGAAAATTGAGTTTACTGGGCTCCACCAGACGACACAATTGTCCCTGATGAATACCCCTACTCATTTAACTGAGATGCTGGATTATTGGTGTACTTAATTTAATACTCACTAACCATTATATTGGATATTATTATATATTTTTTGAGGTTCAAAAGTGGTGTCCACCTACATATATGTTGGCACATATAGCAGTGTCAAACTACTGGTAAGTAAATGACGTCTGACAATGTTTAAGCTAAAGTTATCTGTCTGATCCAAAATGATTATTATTAGATAATAGTTGTCACCGTTCAGGCTGCACTTAAGCTGCTGAGCTAACCACATAGTTTTACAGACTGACAGGACAAGCTGTCTCTCAGCCATTCAAGTGATGAGCTTAAAATATCAATGTTTTGTGCTTAGCTAAAGGCTACCGAGCTAGTTGCTAACAATCCTAAACAGTGTTGACTTGAATTTAGGTCTGCAAATAATAATTATTTTCAGTATTGATTAATCTGCCCATTATTTTGTCTATTAATCATTTAGTTAATATTTGAATTATCAGAGAAAAATATTGTTTTCCTCTGCTCTCTCCTCTCCTGCTCCCCTTGCCAGACACCTGTCCTGTCCTTGCCTCTCTTTTTCAAATAAAAGCAGGTTGTCAAACAAAAGCATGCAGGGTCGCAAATAATGGCGATAATCAAATTGTGCTTTTAAACGTTTCTTTGTGGTCAGAACAGACAAACACTTGATGCCAGCAGCCCTGGTATCAAACAGTGGATCACTTCACAAATCTGAGGTAGAACATTCAAAACAACAAATATGCTGAGAAAATTAAGTAAAATCTTTTTTCAGTCCCTTTTCCTCAACAAAATAAATATCTTAATAGAAAAGAAAGTGCTAATCCGTTCACGATTCATATGAATGAAATCAAATATTTATTGAACATTTGTTATTGAGGAGTATTGTATCACGATAATTATTGTTGTTTTATTGCCCAGCCTACTTCACGTTCGTAAACAGACACAATCACTTCACCAAAAACATGAGTATGATCAGTAATCAGCACTGTTTGAGCACGTTTATGCACAACACTGAATGGACACACTGTCTAGGCGTCTGTCTGCGTTGTCAGACTTTTGGATTTTATTTGCAGAAGACTGCGACCGGAACATATCTCTCCCCAAGTAGTTGTATGTGGATAGACAACACATTTGCGTTCATGTGGTCATGGTGTCCCTGACCACCTCCAGAAGTCGTTTTGCTGATCGGACCACAATCTGTCATCAATGCATCTTGGGTGCATTTACACATGTACTTTCATGTGGTCAAGTGCTACCTTGTCACAGTCTGATCACTCAAAATGCATTCACCTGTGGTGAAAATAAAACTGCCAAATATGGCATTGCCTCATTCATTAAAAGTGATCTAATGAGCATTTATTTTCTATCAAAGAATTGTTTCCAAATTTTCTTAAAAAGCATTAAATGTGACTAAAAATGGTGCAAGAACCCTGTACATTTACAGTACTATACAGGAACTGTGCAAGTCACTGAATTTGCCACAACACGTTTCTGCAAATTTTTCACAATAAAAGCCTTGTTCGGAAATGAAGTAATGTTCTTCACTGAAACACTAGAGGGCTTTTAATTTGAAACAGATACAGGAAGTATTAGCTTTGTATTGTCAACATAATGCCGTAACAAACATTTAAAGGAAAAGACAAACACAAACCACAAAAAAAAAATACATTGCGTTTTGCCTTTCTGTTATTATCTTCATTTTAGAAAAATGCCTGGAGCATCAGTATGGACTTTCATGCTGTGTTCAACAAATAAAGAAGTCCCCTACCTCTTAAGCAGAATGATAAAATTTACAGGTCTTTAACAGGACCACAGGACAACAGTTGTCACTTCTAATCAGTTTGTTTCATTTATCAGACTTTCTTCACTGAAATCTTTTGAATTCTATCATCAATGGCAGAACCTTTTGTTGTAGTCATGCTCCTAATTCAAGTGTGGTACCATGATAGGTTGCCACCTGTGCAATAAGTCCATTCGTGAAATTTCCTCACTACTAATATTCCATGTGGAGCTGCATGGAATGGGTTTCCGATGGACAAGTCTGGGTTTGTTGGTTGCCAGGAGAACGGTTCTTGCCTGACTGCATTGTGCCAAGTGTGTAAAGTTTGGTGGAGGGGGCGTTGTTTGTCAGGGGTTGGGCTTGGCTCCTTATTTCCCGTGAAAGGAACTGTTAATTCTTCAGCATACCAAGACAGTTTGGATAATTTCATGCTCCCAACTGTGTGTAAACAGTTTGGGGATGGCCCCTTCCTGTTCCAACATGACTGAGCACCAGTGCACAAAGCAAGGTCCATAAAGACATGCATGAGCAAGTTTGGTGTGGAGAACTTAACTGGCCTGCACAGAGTCCTGACCCCAACCTGATAGAACACCTTGAATTAGAGCGAGACTGCGAGCCAGGCCTTCTCGTCCAGCATCGGTGCCTCACCTCACAAATGCGCTTCTAGGAGAATGGTCACAAATTCCCATGAACCACTCCTAAATCTTGTGGACAGCCTTCCCAGAAGAGTTGAAGCTGTTACAGATGCAAAGCCTAAGCAAACTCATATTAAACCCTACGGATAAAGAATGGGATGTCATTAACCTTCATGTGCATGTAAAGGCAGGCAGTAATAAAGTATATCATGATGGCAGCCAGGCCTGAAAATGGATAGCGTAACAACATTCCAGGTTTTAGCCAATATGTGTGGGTCCTTTTTAAGTAGGTCAGAGAGGGAGGGTAATCTAATAAGAGCTTTGTGATCAGAGTTTCCGACTTTCTGTCTTTTGTATCAGGCCTAAAGCCTTTTGAAACATTACTAGCTGGACTGTCAACTAAGCTGATTGATTCAAATGGGGACTGTAAATGCTCTTTTTAACATTAGAAGGGCTTTTACGATTTGTCCATTCTTAGGTCTTTGTGTGGTTCTCACTTTGAGGAGAGGACCATAACTGGACACTGATTCACAATAAATCTACAGGGTGTCCAGACAGTGCAGAATTAATCGCAAAGTGAGTAGTGAGTTTAAAACTGAAGCATAAAAACACTGAAATCACCAGCCAAGTGTTACTGACACACAGTGCAGGTGGAGTGAACCATTTCATCCGTCTGTAGCCCTGAGTTTCTGTCGTAGCGGTTGTTGTAATGGCTTTGATTCTGATTGTTTGAATCGGAGTGTGTTTACGTGCTGGTACCTTGCTGGTTCAGGTCTGACGTGGACAGCTGACTTTAACGGCACCCGATATTCTACACAGTTTGCAGATTGACGTCTTTCAAGCAACATCATCTTTTCAAAGCCAGACCACCTCCATGTCAGTGAGGTTGATCCACGTCTCGCAATTCAATCTAACGATGTAGACTGCGAAGCTGCAGGTGTCTGTTTTATCTCCTGGTGCTGTTTGGTCACTCATTTTTAACTTCAGTCTTTATTTTCAGCCTTCTTAACTCTAGCACACGTGTACTGCATGCATGACACAGTAATGAATAGACAAGGTGGTAATACACTGACATTAGATGAGCTTATACTGCCCCATCATTGCAGTCCTGATTCGGTTTGATTTGCAGCTCAGAAAATCTACAAGCAGGTCAGCATTCTGCTACTTGCAACTTAACCCAAGCTACATATAAACACAAATCTTTCCATTGCACATCACACTAAGAGAAACCAATAGCTTTTTCAAATCAGATCTTAATTTTAAATTGTATTTTAACCTGCATTTCATTTATTTGAACTCTTCACTGGTCATATTTCACATTTAGTAAGAAACGATACAATAGAAACAGGAACCTCGACTGGAACTATGAATGTAGTATAACTATATCTGTCAGAGTCTGGTCAAGAGAGAAGGATACTCTCTTCACAAACAGTGTAGATGCTAAACGTTTCTCTTTCTGATGAGTGAGAATCTTTCCTCCGTTTGTGGAATTGACCCTTACAAAACCTTGACTGTGTGTGTGTACCCATCAGAGCACCCTTATGAACAGACAGTAACATCAGATTCATGTGGGTGATTTGCCTGAACAAAGTCCAGTATTTAGAACAGCAGGAGCCTCAGGCCAGCAACAGTTGCACCAGGAGCCCAAAATAGCAAAGGACGGGTGTGTGTGCTCTCAGACGTCATGTTTATACATTACATGACTGTTCTTATTAAGACTCAGGCCTGCTGCACTTAGGGAGCCACTTCTCCACCAAGCACCACACCCAACAGAAGCAGGCAGTGTGGCCAGCATTCACCCCGACTCTGCCTGCTGCTTACATTCTTCACAAACCAGAGCTGATCATTCCCCACTGTGTGTCAGTTCATAGCTTTCAAAGCTTTCAGGTTTTTCAAATCTGATTAACAGTTTGTTCACTGAAAATCAACATTTGACTGCTGGTATTAAATGTAATATCAAATGTGAATTCATGGGTAATGACAAGGTATCTGTGTGGGAACAGCTTCATTAGTTGTTGTTTTTTTTACTATATTATTTACTGGTGCTCAGTGGAGTTTACATCAATGCCATAGTGGAAACCCTGATTTAAAATGGACTTTGGATATTTACTGTGTGTCTCTCCAGATACAAGCCCTTCTTCCCATTCCAAGTACAGCCCCCTCTGGGTCCGGCTTGTGATTTGGACCTGTCAGTCCAGGACAGTAGGCTGGTGGAAGGCCGACTGAAAGTCACCCTCACTGAATGTAGCAGGTAAGACAGTTGAATTTCTGCTGTAGTTCCCCTGTCCACATTCCTTTGTGTGTTTTCGTTCTGAGGCTCTTTCTCCTGGTTGCTGGTTGTTGCATTTTGGGAAAACTTAATGTTGCATCATGCAGTAATAATTCAGACAATAATGTGCTCCCTAGACCCTTTTCCTGTTTTAAAATGACAATATAATATATTTTAATGACTATGTTTCCTGTATTTATCATGAAACTTCAATTAATAGCAAATCCCAAGTTGCCTACCCTGTTTACTGGCCCGGGAACAGATTTTGACAAATAAACGCAGGTCTCCATTAAACGCCTGGTCTAGTTTTTTTTTTTTTTTTTTTAAAACCTGTCCTGCCCAGCAGCTGGATAGAGTATAATGACCTGGATACCATATTGTGCCAGACAGATTTTACTTTAACAAAGAGTATTAAAATACTCCTTTGTCTGTTTTATT